ATTTTGGCATTTGTCAATTTTGGATCAAATCGGATACTATCTTTCAGGTATGGTATTTCTGATTTTGAGCCAAGATTTCAGCAATAATACATAGTTCATCCCTAAGTAAAATTAAGAAAATTCTCGATTACATCTTTGGTAATATTTAAGAAAATTTTGTTTAAATCTTTCGATTATTACTCTGTTGATTGTTTAGAACATGCTCTTAAAAAATAGAGAGAACCCGCAATACATTCCCTTATAATCCCTCCGAAATAAATAAGAATAAAGGACGAGATGAAAAAAACTGCAAACAACTTCAGACTACTGTCATTTCTAAGCCACTCGTCCGAAGGCTGTTAAAATTATTCCAGTGACAGCTCATTATATTGTTTACAGGTGTACAAAAACATTTTCGCGAGAATTTTCCAGAAAAGAAGTTATTCGTGATGGAATTCAAGCGTGATAGTGTGATTTCTTTATATTTGGCTGGAAAACCACAAGTGGCTATCGTTGGAGCACTCCAATATTTAAAAGTGAATAAATCTTTTGTGTCTCGTACCATCGCTCGTTATCGTGATACTGGCAGCGTAGCCAGACGTCAAGGAAGTGGACGGAAGAAAACAGCAACATCACCGAAAAATTGCTCGGTAGCTGAGCAATATTTCATTCGGCAAATACTGAAAAATGAGCTCGTTGTAAAGCCATTGAAATTCCAAAAAGTGCAAGAACTTACACCGCAGCAAGAAGAAAATAGACTCAAATAAGCTTAATAGTTGCTTCGCTTGGCCCAAAGTGGTGAACTGCCGAATTTTGTTTTCTCCGATGAGAAAACATTCGTTGTCCAGCAGTTTGTAAAAAACAAAATGATCGTGGCTAAAGGGGTCAGCTGAAAATGTGCACCTTCGGTTGGCCAACAGAACTCGAGCGCCGGCCATGGTGATGGTGTGGGCCGCCATAAAAGCCGATGGTCGCTCTCCGCTCGTATTAATCGACCGTGGCATCAGAATAAATGCCGAATATTTTCTCGAAAATATGGAGGGGGTATGAAAGCCTTGGGCACGCAAACATTCTGGCTGCAGACCTTGAACATTCCAACAGGACTAAGCACGCGCCACCTAAGAATGGTTACAAAATGAGGTTTCTAGCTTCATTTCCAGCGCACAATGGTCACCAAAATCTCCGGATACCAATCCGTTGGACTACTGTGTCTGGAGTATTTTGGAAAGCAAGGTTGGCATTAAAAAAATACCAAAATCCAAGCAAACGCTTCGCCGGGAATGGGCCAAAATACCGCAGAGCAACATTCGGACAGAGTGTGACGGTTTCATTGTCCGTTTGCAGGCCATAATTCGTGGCAAAGGTGGCCAATTCCAACAAATATAAACTTATTCTAGAATTTGATGCTATTTTCTACATTTTTTGCTTTCATTCGTTAAAATTAAAAAAAAAACATTAGCGTTTGACTTTGTTGCAGTTTTTAATATCTCCCTGTATACTTAAATAATTGACAATTTTAGCTTGAAAAATATTTCTAAGAAAGTCCACAATTTATATCTAATATATTTTCTGAAAATATCTATTATTTTCCATTATTTTAGCTCTTCAGAAAACATTCTGAAACAAAAACGGTTTGAGTTCATCTGAAATTATTTAAAAAAAAATCTTAGATTTCAGCTTTGGCAGTACTTCAGAAAATATTTTGAAAAATATCGATTAGTTGGTTATTTAGAAAGTTTTCAAAAAAATCTATGATTAATCCTTCTGAAAGTTACCGATTACAGGTCTGAAAATCTGCCACAAAATATTTTTAAAAACACAATAATTTATTTGAAAGTTCTTCAGTTCAAAAATACTCCAGGATTATTTCTAAAAACTCTTGTTTTAGTTGTCTTTTGTAAAATATCCTTAAATATAAATGGTCCAACATATTAAAAAAACATACAATTTTTCTTCAGAAAATGTTCTGATATTTTATCTGATATATTCGTAGAAATCTATGAAAATCTCTTTTGAAAATGTTACTAAAACATGAATAATAGTCCTTTGAAATTATGTCTAAAATGGCTGTATTGTCCACATAAAATATATTTGTGTTTACGACTGAGCCCGTGCTAATTTAAATTCACCCTTTTGTAATTCATATCACCATTTCCTAATTTATTTATTTATTGAAAATAACGGTTGTTATTAGCAACAACAAACCGTTGCAAAACCACCCCATTCAATGAACACCCTGTCGCCTTTGTTAAACGAATACACAAATCACCCTGTATCTAGAAATGAAAATACAGTTATTGTGATTGGTCGTATTTATTTAATGTAGGGTTTTATAGTTGCAATGCATAAACTTATTTTTAAGAAAAATCGAAGTATAAAATGTAATTTGACTAATTTTATTGAATGGTGTACTTCAACATGTGCAGATTAATGAGAATTAAAGCACTTTTTGTGAAAAGTTTAGTTTATAATTAATATTTGTTGTGTTCGCCAGTCAATGTTAAGGTCAAAGGTGCGTCATTCATGCATTTGCGATTTCGTTAATGTTGGCATTTTTTCACGCAAAATTAGGGTCCTTTTCACCGGCCAAATATGAAAATGCTAGGCTTCAGCTCATAAAGAATTCCATGTCTGTTGGTCAACACATGTTTTTTAAGTAATCACATTTTTATTATCATCTTTTTATGCAATTTTTCTAAATGTTTCTGCCAAAGGACCATTTTGAATTGGCGAGAGTTCTCAAAATCAGTTTAGTCGTTCTTAAGTTACATTTGCGGTTTAATTTTTCGTATTTTTATACCCTCCACCTTGGAAAGGAGGGTATATTAACTTTGTCATTCCGTTTGTAACATCCTTAAATATTCGTCGTAGACCCCATAAAGTATATATATTCTTAGTCGATTTAACGATGTCCGTCTGTCTGTTGAAATCACGATACAGCCCACATTATTTGACGTAGAGCGCCAAAATTTAGCAGAGCAATTTGTATTGTGTCTATGATGGTTGGTATTGAAAATGAGATATATCGGTCCACGTTCTGGCATAGTCCCCATATAAATTATCAAAATACCAAATATCGGTATATCTGAAAATTGGTATTTGTAGGTCAAAACGGGTCCCTGTGCGTGTGGCAAAACATTACAACTATTGGTCCACATTTTGGTATAGCCCCCATATAAAGGTACCTCCCGATATTCGCGGATTTGTCTAAAAATTAGTATTTGTTGCTCATATTAGGTCCTAGTTGGTGTGGCGAAACTTTATATGTATAGGTCCACGCTTTGGTACCTCCCAATATTCGGTATTTTGATGATTTTTGACACATTTTTTCACGGATTTGTCTGAAAATTGGTATTTGTTGGTCATAATGGGTTCTAACTCTTTTGGCGAAATATTGTATGTATAGGTATTTGTATTTGTGGGTCATCATTGGTTCTAGTATTTCCATTAACCTAAGGTGGAGGGTATTAAAAGTTTATGTTTTTACTTGTTTGTATTAAATTTAGGTCATTTTTGACCAGCTAAATATTACCTACCTGCCCAGCTCCAAACTTTAGTTTCATGAAAAGTTCGGAGTCGATTGATCTATAATTATGACCTCTAGACCAACTGCAAACTCAGGACATTTTTATGCTTTTGGTCCTTTTTAAGGATCTGGAAAAATATGCCACCTGTAGCGTGACCGTGACGGACGGACATGCATAGCTAGTCCGACTCAGCTCGACGAGATACGAAGATCCCTGTATACATTACTATGCGCTACATAATTTTTGGCCCAATCATGTCCAAAAAAATGGATTCATCCAACTGCTTGTTCCTACCTTTTATGGTGACGAGAATCGACAACTCGAAAGGAAATGGAAATATTTTTTATAGTAATGTGTTTATGTAAAAACTTTACTTGATCGTAAAATGCGGTCACTTTGTTTTGAGTTGTTCAGTTTAGGAATATTAGCAAAATCATAAGTTGTGTTCCAGAACCTGCAAATTAGTACTAATTAGCACTAATTCTGCTACAACGCGTTCCCGTACTCCAAAAACTAGCAAAACTTGCAGCTCTCTCGAGAAAAAAATGGCGCTGAGTGATGCACATTTCTGCTTGTTTTAGCTACATGAATTTGGCCGAGCAGAAATGTGCAGTTTGTAAATTTGACATTTAATTGGCAGAGCTAACAAGGTTGAAAAATGTATTGATACATTTCAATAAAGAAAATGATCAACTTGAAAACTAAAGGAAAAACTAATATTTGTCGTGCAAAAAACAAAAAGAGAAAATATGCAGCAACTGATGTATTCACTTTTGGATGATTCCAGCAGTGAAGAGGACTGGCTGAATGAGGAATCAGATTATTAATTATTATTATAAATTATTAATTTTAACTTATCGTCTTCAATACTCATTTTTTAAATGTTGGCGCTCTTTTCAGTAAGGTTTCACCAGCCCGATTTAGGCTGCTTACTTTTGGAATTTTGAATTTTGACATTTTATCGCATTTCTGCTAATTTTCCGTTCCCTTATTTTTTGAGCAAACCTAAATGAGAATGACATTTCGAACTGTTCTCTCTTCTGCTAGTTTTACTACTAAAAAGTACTGGAACACAACTATTATCTGTGTCCAGAATTAAAACACTTCTTATACGTCCACCACTATTTTCGTTCAAGAAATCCAAAACAAATTGACTCAATATTCATTTTCATTTATAATGAAAAATGTTTTATTAATTTTAACATATATATTGGAATTTGGTTTTTGTAGCGTGAAAAGACTTTTTCAATTAAGTAAAATATCGTATGGTATCCGTAAATCCAGTCAAAAGAAAGCTATCTGTTAAAAGAAACTCAATCTAAATAGATTTTGAGTGATTGTCTTCATTTCTTTTTCATTTTTTAATGAATTAAAAATAAATTCGATTTATTTAATTGAATCGAGTCTCTTCAACGATAGTCAATTAGTCGACCTACACATCCCTACCTATAACAAAGGCGGAACGCCGCCGCCAGTTATCAACAACTCACTGAGTCGCCGACGATGAGAAACCGTTGCGCTTTGTTGTCTGCACACAACATTAACTAGACTAGTGGCACTTATATTTTGGCCAAGCAAATTTAATTCAAAAAAGACTAGCAAGAAAGAATAAAGCTACGCAAGAAACGAAGCAACAAAACAGTGAACAACAAATCTTGCCAATAAACAAAATACATTTTGTACTTTTATAGCAACAGTATCCACACACACAGCACCCCGCAAACATGACTGATATGAAGAATGAAATGGACAGTGATTTGGATCAGAACTATTCGCTGAACAGCAATGCAGATCCCAAGAACATGCAGGAATTGACAATTTATGTGAGTATTGAATTTTGGATTGAGGCAATAAAAAGACAGTACAGCGCCCGGAAGGGGAAACGCAGCTTGTTGCATATTAAATGTGATAATTTCTTTTTAACAACTTATCGTACATGGTTGGTTCGAGGAAATTGACTTTATCATCCTCCCCTCCAGCTGATTATCATGCAGTTAACATAATTTGTTTACTTTTGTCTCTTTGTTGTGTAAACAAAAATGGGCGGACACTGCAACAACCAAGTTCAAGTGAGCCGATGGTGCAGCATAGAATAGATATCGACAATGATTAATTAATGAGACTTACAAGTTGATTGCGAAAAAGAACGATTCTCATCAATCTATTGGTCCATGGGACGTTTCAAGAAAAAACTCCACAGAAAATTATTACAACCGAAAAATTTGTGATCGAACTGAGGGAAATTGTTTGCTTGATTTTTCGGGAAACCCCCAAGATTTATTTGCAAATGCATTCCCAATACAAGTAACTTTACAATTGAATATTTTGTAGAGGGAATAACTGCGTAAAGGAAAGATGTATATCTTGTAGCAATTTGTAAACCGCCCAGGATTCTAGAATTTCTTAAGTACATCATTTGTCCATGAAAATACTGGAGTTATTCCCCCTTTCCACAGCACATAGCAAAGGTATTAGAATATGTATTGAATAAATTTATTGATATAATTGTAACTCTATCCGATAAGTCAAGTGTGCTTCAGGCTATGGAAATTTAAAAAAACATGATTAAGAATCAAACTCAAATGGATGCAGCTACCATCCAATACAAGTTTCTACCAGGAACCTAAATATCCACATGAATGGAGTTAAAACTCAAGTAACTAAGTGAAAGCGAAATTAAACGGTTTGGTCTATTTCCTATGGCTGTATTCAAAATATACCTAAATATTCTAAGTTAGTCATGTCAGCTTTGTCCACTTTCTGTTTCAAAGAATAGCGGTTCCAGAATATACATTACACAACTATAAACTTCTAAGGCTTCTCTTGGTGACTTCAATGAGGACTGACCCAAGAGCATATCCATAAAGAGTGGACCGCAGTATCCTATCTTTGTAGTAGAAAACGTATTAAAATGTGAAAAGTTATAGGAAAATCGGCCAGAAAGAGTGAACACAAAATGTCCTAGATTGCCCTTCTTGGAGACTGTCCAAAATATAATACAGGTTCCAGATTAATGTTTCCGATGCGTCCACAACGTTTGTGAAATTGCTAAATAAAAATCAGGGACCCATACCCTGAGCGTTATTAGCAATCAAAATTTTTGTAATTTGTGCGGTAGGAACAAGAAATAGTGAAACCATATTTTCCATAATCGAAATAAGCAGAAATGCAAAAATAATCAATTATTCTCTTCGATATTTATCGTTACATCGAGCCAGCCAGACGAACGCACACAGTTTGATCGATTCAAAATATCCTGGAACGTCATTAAGCACGATTTGAAATGTATCAGATGATATACACTGTCTGTATTTCAAAGCCAGCGAAGAACTATCACGGATCCTTAAAAAGTCATCTGTCTAAATGATCCTAAAATAGTCAACGAAACCAGAATTCATTAATAAATTTTTGAGGAATATAAACGAAGGTCTATGAAACGAGGGCCTATCAAAAAGTTGTCAATTTAAGGTCAACAAAATAACGACCCACAAGGTAGAAGGTCTATGAAACGAGGAGCTTTTAAACTGTTGTCCACCTAGAGACTACAAAATAACGACCAACGAGGTTAAAGGTCTATGAAAAGGATATCCTTTACAAATTTCATTTCAATTTACACTGAGACTTTTGAACACTATTTACAAGTTTCTTTTTTTCCCGAGATCTATAAGGCAACATAAAATGTGGATTTATAAAACAGAAATCTACCCAAAAATTATCAAAGACCCGGAAAAATTCATTGTTCATACGTTCATTCACAACGAATCGCTTGCTTGAGCTGATCGACACTTTGGTATCTTTTAGTGCCAACCTTGCTTTTCAAAATACTCCAGACACAATAGTCCAACGGATAGGTATCCGGAGATTTTGGTGGTCATTGTAGCCATTTGGAACATTGCTATACGTTCAGCTCACGAGCCATTTTTCGGCCACTTCGACGCGGGTTTCGATCAAGTCGCTTCTTTACTTTTCAAACTATTTCTGCTGATGTTGCTGTTTTCATCCGTTCACTGCCTTAACGTCGGGCTACGTTACCAGTATCACGGTAACGAGCGATGGTACGATGCAAAAAAAATTTATTCAAATTTAAATGCTGCAGTCCTCTAGCGATAGCCACTCGTGGTTTTCCAGCCAAATATGTAGAAATCACACTATCACGCTAGAATTCACAAATAACTTTTTTCTGGAAAATTCTCACCAAAATGCTTTTGTACGCTTGTAAACAATATAATGAGCTTTCACTGGAATAATTTTAACAGCTGTTGGACGAGTGGCTTAGAAATGACAGCAGTCTGAAGTTGGTTGCAGTTTTTTATCTCACCCTGTATGTATACTCTTTAACAAATTTGTCTTCTCAAAGACTTACAGAGTCATATAAACTAAGATTTATTAAAAAATTTTCTTCTGAAGGAGATCCAAACAAGGAGTGTTTTTAAAATTAAATGAAATTTTTTACACAATGATAATCAGATACATAAATTTTAAAAAACTATGGTACATTTACATTCTATGGCAGAAATCTTTCATGCGAGGGATTGCCATTATAGCCAAATGACCCAATACGCAACATGATGGCTTTGCAATAAAATTTCTGATTAAAATAAACTATCTATAAGTCAGTAGCATAGTTTTCCATAAGTTTTGTGTATGGTCTAGAAATAAACTGTGTACTTTACGTACTTAATTTAATAATTCAATCAACATTATATTTGATTTTCCATTTAATTAATCCATTTTCTTTTAATGTTCCTTGTTTTTTAAGGTCCAAAGCCTTTTGCAAAATGTACAGGACAAATTCCAAACCATGTCGGATCAAATTATAACTCGCATCGATGACATGGGCAATCGGATAGATGATTTAGAAAAAAGTATTGCTGATCTGATGAATCAAGCAGGTGTTGAGGGTCCAGAGAAATAAAACTAACCCAAAGTAAAGTAAGAAACAACATGGCAGAAGAAACACTGATGACGATCTCCATATGTGTGCGGGAGAAAAGAGGATGCTCAAACAGAAACAACCCCACAACAATAACAACACAACACATATATCAAAATAAAAAAAGTAGAATCAAAAATCACTAAATTTCCCACAATTCATTCTATATTTTTTTCTGCTTAGTTTCATTACCCATTAACGCATATTGCCTTTTCCCCCAAATAATAACTTATATATTTAGAATTTTATTACATTATTGTAGTTTTTTGCTGTATAGTTTTCTTCATACGTCTCTGTATTTTTGTATTTTGCGTGTCATAACACTGTATTTAATTCATTTCAGTACAATTATGATAGAAATTTACCATTATATTTTTTACACAAAAACAAAAAAAGAAGGGAATCTTTTATGTAAATTAAAATATAAATTATAAAAGAGATGGATTACAGTTTTGTTGGAGTGATATTTTGTTTGTAATTAATGTATGTATAATTTATCTTAAATTAAAACACAGTTTGATAAGCAAGAAGCATGAAAAAGAGAAGAAGAATATGAAGTAATAAAAATATTGAGTTTAAGTTGAACTATGTGAAATTTAAATGAGAGTTACAAGAGAGAACAACACATCAACGAAGTCTGAAATGGTGAACGTTGAAGAGAACGCACAACAAAAATATGTATAAAGGGGTCTTCATAGTCGTCTGTAAAAGAGTCCTTTATAGATGTCTATAAAGCAGTCTTTTAAGACGTCTAAAAAAGAGTTTTTGTAGTGGTCTGTAAAATATATATAGACGTTTAAAAATAGTCTCTAGAATTTTAGAATTTTATTTAAGAAGTCTTCTATGACGTCTATAAGAGAGACTTCATATATGCCTCGATTAAAAAAAGAATTATTGTAGATGTCTATGAATACAGGGTGAGATGAAAAAACTGCAACCAACTTTAGACTGCTGTCATTTCTAAGACACTCGTACGACAGCTGTAAAATTATTCCAGTGACAACTCATTATATTGTTTACAAGCGTACAAAAGCGCTTTGGTGAGAATTTTCCAGAAAAAAAAGTTATTCGTGACAGAATTCAAGCGTGACAGAGTGTTTTCTTTATATTTGACTGGAAAACCACAAGAGGATATCTTTAAAGCACTCCAGCATTCAAATGTGAATAAATCTTTTGTGTCTCGTACCATCGCTCGTTACCGTGATACTGGTAGCGTAGCCCGACGTCAAGAAAGTGGACGGAAGAAAACAGCAACATCAGCAGAAATGGTTCGAAAAGTAAAGAAGCGACTTGATTGAAACCCGCGTCGCAGTGCCCGAAAAATGGCTCGAGAGCTGAACATATCGCAATATTCCATTCGGCAAATATTAAAAAATGAACTTGGGGTAAAGCCGCGTCGCATTGGCCGAAAAATGACTCGTGAGCTGAACATAACGCAATATTCCATTCGGCAAATATTGAAAAATGAGCTCGGCATAAAGCCATTGAAATTACAAAAAGTGCAAGAACTTACACCGCAACAGAACGAAAATAGACTCAAAAGAGCTAAAGAGTTGCTTCGCTTGGCCGAAAGTGGTGAACTGACGAATTTGGTTTACTCCGATCATAAAACGTTCGTTTTGTAAACAAACAAAATGACCGTGTTTACTTGCAAAGAAGTCAGCTGAGTTGTGCACCTTCGGTTGGCCACCAGAACTCAAGCGCCGGCCATGGTTGTGATGGTGTGGGCCGCCATAACAGCCGATGATCGCTCTCCGCTCGTATTTATCAGAATAAATGCGGAATATTATCGCGAAAATATTCTGGAGGATGTTTTAAAGTCTTGAGTACGCAAACATTTTGGCCGCAGACCTTGGACATTCCAACAGGACTCAGCACCATCGCACTCAGCTCGTGCAACCTAAGAATGGTTACAAAATGAGGTTCCTCGCTTCATTTCCAGCGCGCAATGTCCACCAAAATCTCCGGATGCCAATCCGTTGGACTATTGTGTCTGGAGTATTTTGGAAAGCAAAGTTGGCACTAAAAAATACCAAAGTGTCGAACACCTCAAGCAAGAGTTTCGCCGGGAATGGGCCAAAATACCGCAGAGCAACATTCGGACAGCGTGTGACGGTTTCATTGGCCGTTTGAGGGCCATAATTCATGCCAAAGGTGACCAATTCGACAAAAATCTAAACTTGTTCTAAAATTTGATTCTATTTCCGACATTTTTTGCTTCCATTCAATAAAATTTAAAAAAAAATATAAAAATTATGTCGTTTGACTTTGTTGCAGTTAGCTTATCTCACCCTGTACATGATTCTAGTTTGAATTCTGTGAGATGTACCAAAATTCAGGTCATTTGGACTGAAATTGGCCATTTGGTGCACAACCCGAAACCCGAAATTGGTTGAATACATATGGGAGCTATATTTAAATCTGATCCCATTATCACCAATTTCAATAGTGTTCGTCCTTGTGCCAAAAAAATATTCATCTCAATTGGATAGTAAATGCGATCTGCATTTTGTTCACAAGAATACATGGACGGACTGACATGCATAAACCACTCAGAAAAAAATTCTATGAAGTTCCTCAAAAGTAACTATGGGTCTATCACGCTTCCTTCTCACATACTACACATACTACCCTTCACACTATTTGGGGTAGAGTATAAAAGAGCCTTGTATATGTTTATACAAATAGTTTTTATACTATGAAATAATCCTTATAGACGTCTGTTAAAGTGTCTTTCTAGAGGTCTATAGACGAGTCTTCAAGACGTCTAAGATTAGACTTCATAGACGTTTAAATTCCCGGCTAAATTTGTTAGACTACCCCCAAAAATTAAAAAAAGTCCAAGCAACAAATCCTTTCATGTATTTATTTGATTTTCAAAATAAGTTAATATATCTACGGAAGAGCAGAATAACAACAACAATATTTTTATTAATTTCTATTATTGCGGGTGCAGTTGATAATATTTTCGGCGGTATTCTTTTCAATGCTCGATTTTTGTTTCTTTTTTGTCTCAACAATTGTAACCTGGCGACGTTTGTCGTCAACACCGCCAATACCATCATCACTATTGCTACCATCATTTTCATCATCCTCCCCCTTGAGGGGAGTTGACGATGATAGTTTCTGTTTCTGTTTGTTAGGGTTGTCATGTCTGTTAACCAAGCGTGGTATACCCGTACTAGAGGAAACACCTGTTAAACGTTTCGTTACAAAAACATTTTTACTTTTGCCAGCAATGGTTGGGCCGCCACCACCCTCTTTTAATTTGGGTTTCTTGAGAACCTACATGCACACACATACAATAATACAAAATATAAATTGGGAAAATGCATTTAGGTTTTACAAAAAAAAAATGGTAGAAAGAAAGGAAGCAGTCAAACTTGGTAATAACGGATACTTGAGGACTCACCCCATTGTCTCCGTTATAACCAAATTTGACTGAGTTCTCAACGATTGCATTGGTGGTTATGCAAATTTGCCATAGGAAATTTGTTGGGAGTAACAAAAACAATACAACAACTAACAATGTGGGTGTTGATGGTAGGAATGGGAAATGTCATTAATAGGTAACAGTGCAATGACCTACAAATTAATTCATAGGGGATGGAGGAAAATGATTTATTTATTTAATGAATTTGTTTGTTTGTTTTAAATAAACAAAGTAGCCAGAAGTTAGATGGAGTTGATTTGTTGATTCTGTTGCCATGAGAGCAATAATGAAAGGAAATTGTGAATTGCCTGTGCTACAGACGATATTCATATCAAAGAGCTAAAATTACCAAGTGTTTGAATATAAGAAAAAAGCCAATACTGTTTTTTATTATTTTTTGGGTTAGAAAATGCATGAAAAACGTGATTGTCAACTCGTTTGTTTTAATACTGGACATGCATTTGCTTTTGCAACCTTACATGGGTGGCTGCCACAGCTTTGAAGGGATGTTTAACCTGTGGCTTTGCCAGGGGTTTCTTATAATTAAAAGTGGTATTTGCCTTAAGATCAGAGGCTGAGTCATCGGATATAGCTTCGCCCACATCTTCTGCGTCGGTGTCTTCTTCATTGGATTTATCCTGAAAATGAAAAAATGGAAATGATAAATATAGCGGTTAACAAAGAGGTTTCAGATAAAAAGAAGATAAATATTTTTATTCATCGAAGTAGTAGCTGCTCCTTCAAATTTAGAATCCTCAGAAGTCTGTATAGACTCCTCCAACGGAGTATGTACAGACTTCTCCAAAGGAGTCTGTATAGACTCCTCCAAAGGATTCTGTATAGACTCCTCCAAAGGAGTCTGTGTAGACTCCTCTAAAGGGGTATGTACAGGGTGAGATGAAAAAAACTGCAACCAACTTCAGACTGCTGTCATTTCTAAGTCGTTCGTCCGACAGCAGTTAAAATTATTCCAGTGACAGCTCATTATATTCTTTGCAAGCGTATAAAAGCATTTTGGTGAGAATTTTCCAAAAAAAAAAAAATTGTTATTCGCGGTGGAATTCAAGCGTGATAGTGTGATTTCTTCATATTTGGCCGGAAAACCACAAGTGGCTATCGTTAGAGCACTCCAGCATTTAAATGTGAATAAATTTTTTGTGTTTCGTACCATCGCTCGTTACCGTGATACTGGTAGCGTAGACCGACTTCAAGGAAGTGGACGGAAGAAAACAGAAACATCAGCAGAAATGATTCGAAAAGTAAAGAGGCGACTTGATCGAAACCCCTATATTCCATTCATTCAGGGTTAAGCCATTGAAATTCCAGAAAGTGCACGAACTTACACCGCAATAGAAAGAAAATAGTCTCAAAAGAGCTAAAGAGTTGCTTCGCTTGGCCGAAAGTGGTGATCTGCTGAATTTGGTTTTCTCCGATGAGAAAAAATTCGTTGTCCAGCAGTGCACCTTCGGTTGGCCACCAGAGCTCAAGCGCCGGCCATGGTGGTGATGGTGTGGGCCGCCGTAACAGCCGATGGTCGCTCTCCGCTCATATTAATCGACCGTGGTATCAGAATAAATGCCGGATATTATCGCGAAAATATTCTGGAGGATGTATTAAAGCGCATTTTGGCCGCAGACCTTGGACATTCCAACAGGACTCAGCACCATCGCACTCAGCACGCGCCACCCAAGAATGATTACGAAATGAGGTTCCTCATTTCTAGCGCACAATGGCCACCAAAATCTCTGAATACCAATCCGTTGGACTATTGTGTCCGGAGTATTTTGGGAAGCATGGTTGACACTAAAAATACCAAAGTGTCGATCACCTCAAGCAGGCGCCCAGCCGGAAATGGATCAAAATACCGCAGAGCAACATTCGGGCAGCGTGTGACGGTTTTATCGCCCTAAACTTATTCTAAAATTTGATGCTATTTCCGACATTTTTTGTTTTCATTCAAAAAAATTAAAAAAAAAAATGTAAAAATGATGGCGTTTGACTTTGTTGCAGTTTTTTATCTCAGCCTGTATAGAATCCTCTAAAGGAGTATATATAGACTCATCCATAGGAGTCTGTTTAGACTCCTCTAAAAGGAGTCTGTTTAGACTCCTCTAAAAGGAGTCTGTTTAGACTCCTCTAATAGGAGTCTGTATAGACTCCTCTAAAAGGATTCTGATAAAACTACTTTAGCGGTGTCTATATAGACCCTTCCTCCTATTCTATATACCCCTTATTTTGTATAACATTATATAATTGTACCTCTTCGTCTTCCTCATCCTCATCATCTTCCTCCTCATCCTCTTCTTCATCCTCGTCGTCATCATCATCATCGTCGTCATCGGTTTTTGCTTCCGTTAAATTTTTTGTTGATTTTGACATGCGACCCATTCTCTTGAGGGGACTCAACAATTGGTCCCTATCCAAACTTTCCATTGACTGAGATGATCTAAGGCTATTTGCCTTTTTATTCTTTGTTGTCTTCTTATCTTGTGTTTCAGTCTTCGATTTCATAAGTTTTTGAAATTCTATAAAATCACCACGCTCATCAATATTTGAGACATCGTAATAGCTGGCCGTTAGCGCTTCCAATGATTTCGTATGGAATTTCATTGCAATCAAAATGAAATCCGTCAAAATTGTTTTGAGATTAGACAATTTACGTTTTTCAAATTCACAAATAACATTGTCGATTTCTTTATTTGTACGATTTAAATCCTTTTGGGCTTCAAGCAACTCGGAATCGGCGGCCGACTGAAATTGATAACGGAAATATGTAGAGGATTATAATTGGAAATTTTGAATTATATAGTATGTGGTTCCACTCACATTATTGGCTGAGAATTTGTTTTTTAAATCTAGCATCTGTCTTTGCTTTAAAACCTCCTTATCTCGCGCTATGACTGCGGTGCGCAAATTGTCTCTGCTCGTTTTGCACAAATTTTCAAATTGAGTCATTTCATTTATAATCTGAAATGAAAAAAAAATAAATAAATAATTAAATCTGTAATTAAAAATTGTTGAAAAATTATTCCTAGCACAAGAGTCAATTTAGTAGAGCTTTGAAGTACAATCAAGGACTGTAGACTGAGTTAGAAAATAAACTATAGAGTGGCTTTTAAAGAATATTTTTTTCAAAGAATTTTAGTTTAGCAATCGCAGATTTCTTTAAGTATATTTTTTCTAAAGGCTTTTAGTCCAATAACCGTGGATTTTAAAGAATATTTTTGTGGACTTTTAATTCAACAATCGTAGATTTTTTTAATACTTTTTGAGAATTTTCAAAAAGGATATAAGTGTTATAATCGTGGATTTTTTTAAAAATATTCTAAAAGGACTATTAGCGTTATCATCGTGAACATTGTTTAACAACATTCGAGAAGGACTATTACCGAATTTAATCGTGAATATTATAGATAATGCTCTTTTTATACTCTCCGCCATACTATGGAGGGTATATTAACTTTGTCATTCCGTTTGTAACTCCTCGAAATATACATTTTAGACCCAACGAAGCATATATATTCTTGATCATCGTAAAATTCTAAGTCGATTTAAAGATGTCCGTCTTCCTGTCTGTTGTAATCACGCTATCTTTAGAACGAATTAAGATAGAAGGCTAAAATTTTGCACACATGTTTATTTTGCCATCAGGCAGGTTAACTTCGTAAATGGGTAGGTCCACGTTTTCATATAGCCCCCATATAATGGTACCTCCCGATATTCGGTGTTTTGATGATTTTAGCGACATTATTCACCGAAATTGTTTCAATTTTGGTATTTGATGTTTGTAATGGATGCTACAGCCTATGCCAGGATATTGTCTGTGCAGGTCCACGTCTTCGCATAGCCCCCATATAACGGCAGCTCCCGATATTCGGTATTTCGATGATTTTAACGACATTATTCACCGGAATTGTTTCACATTTTGTATTTGAAGCTCGAAATAGATACTACAATCTATGACAGAAAATTGTCTGTGTAGGTCCACGTCTTCGTATAGCCCCCATATAACGGTACCTCCCAATATTCGATATTTTGATGAATGTTATTCACCGGAGTAGTTTCAAATTACGTATTTAGAGTTCGTGATGGGAACTTCAGGCTGTGACAGAAAATTGTCTATGTAGGTCCAGGTGTTAGCATAGGCCCTTATATATCAATACCTCCATATATTCGGTATTTTGACGATTTTAGGTACAATACGCACCGAAATTGATTGAGATGTCGTATTTGAAGATCGTAATGGATGCTACAGCCTGTCACAGAAAATTGTCTATGCAGGTCCAGGTCTTGTATAGCTCCGATATAACGATACCTCCTTATATACGGTATTTTGATGATTGTAGCTACATTATTCACAGTTTATTTCAAGTTTCGAATTTGTATATGGTAATGGCTTATGACAAATACTGCCTATGTAGGTCCACGTCGTATTCGAAAATAACGTCAATATTCGGTATTTTTAAGATATTAACAGAATTTTTAACGGATTTTATTTTTTGAAAATTTCCAAATTCGTTCTAAATGGTGAAGTGTATTCACTTACTGCTTTTTAACTTGTTTCTTTTTAGTTCAATAGCAAACGGGGAAGCTATATTAAAACGTTGACCTACATTAAATATTTTTTGTGAGGAGTTAAATTACCCACTGCAATTTTGGATTTCCCAAGGGCAAACCCTATAATCGGTTAAAATTTAAACATATATCTTTGTCCGATTTGCCTTTTATTGTGCACCAAATGTGTAATATTCTTAAAAATAGGTTAGAATTTGGCACATACGACAAAATTGAGTCTAGAAACAAGTACGTCGAATTTGTTGGAAATTGGTTCAAATCTAGCTATAGCTCTCATATGTATTGTACATCCGATTTGTAATTTTTGTCCTACATAGCCAAAATAAAACATGTTCTCCTTAACAACGATATTCGGGGAAATTTAAAAATTATACCTTTGCCAAATTTTAAATACATTTGCCAAATTTTATTGAGATAGGTTCAAATTTGGATATAGCTGCCGTATATATCTTTACTCGTTTTCAATAATATAGGTCCGAATTGAATGGATTTTGGCACATATAAATGATTTCAGCCTGGAAGATCGGATATCAAATTATACCCGTAAATGGTCTCCAATATGTACGATGGACGAGTTGAAATGGAGGGTCCGAGGATTTTTCAAATATACCTTCCTTCAAATCCTCAGCACTAAATTAAAATATACTTACCTTTATTTCCATGCGATGCACATGGATGTCCATATAATCGGCCATAACTGTCACGGCATTTGTGACATTTTTCAAGCCCTCGGTCAGACTTTCATTTATGTCCTCCTCGTCGGCATAATGCTTTAAACTTTTCGACAGTTCATCATAGCAATCACGAAACCTAGAAGAAAGATAGAAGCCATTAGCACTTTTTTGCTCAGCAACGATGTCATATACATATTTACTTTGCCATTTTCCTTGTGCAATCGGAAAATGTCAAACACATATCCATTAAATGTTTCTCGGTTAAATTAATACGTTCGTTGATGATTTTAATGCGATCATCTTTGGTATTTGGAAATGATAACTTGGAACGGCGAAACATTGTTTAGAAAACGAAACTTAGTTTAATAATTTATTGAGAATTTGCAGTGTTTCGTTTTGTTGCAACGCGTTGTATTCCTTTTCCATCTGAAGTGTCAGATGTAACGGTTGTCATGACAACACAGGGTGGTTAAGAAAGTAAAGTGGTGGTGAATATAAAATGACAACAGGTGCTAAAAGGGGAAATGCCTGTTTCGTTTCGTGTATTCACAAGGTGACACAGTAAGGTCAGTTGTTGTCTTTGTACTGATGTCAAAATAAAATAGTTTTGTTCCTGTATTGCAAAACATCGAAATCTTTTTCCTTATTTTTAAAATGATTAAAAAGTGTGAAAAATTAATGAAAAGCTTTGATTTTTTATGAAAAAAATATCCAAACTGTTCAATCTTTCAATTCCATGTAAGAAATGGTTAATATCTTAAATACACGCCCGCAATGTACCGTTGTTTCAAACATTGCTTTTGAAAATATTTTTCAAAACAAACTAGTAAAAAAGTTGTAAGTTCGGCCGGGTCGAACTTTGAATACCCTCCACCATTTGGAAACAATTTGACATTTTTCAAAAAAATAAAATCCTTTAAAAATTCGTTTAAAATCTTAAAAATACCAAATGTAGCCGTTATATTTGGGTTTATACGTACCGGTGTGAACCTGCAATTTTTTCAAAAGCCATTACAATATTCAAATACGATACCCGAAAAAATATATATCCATTACAAATATACCAAATACCAAATTTGAAACATTTCCGGTGAATATTGTCGCTAAAATCATTAAAATACCGAATATCGGGAGGTACCGTTATATGCGGGCTATACGAAGACGTGGACACAGACAATTTTCTGTCATAAGCTGTAGTATCCATTACGAACTTCAAATACCAAATTTGAAACATTTTCGGTGAATAATGTCGCTAAATCATCAAAAACCCGAAAATAGGGAGGTACCAATATTTTGGGGCTGTACCAAAACGTGGTACTACATGGTTCATTTTCAATACCAAAAGTCCTGCAGACATAATATACATTTGTACAGACGATATAGTATTTTATGCTGATCAAGAATATATATATATACTTCGTGGGTTCTAAAATGTATAATTTGAGGTGTTACAAACGGAATGACAAACTTATTATACCCTCCATATTATGGTGGAGGGTATAATAATATCCTGATCACAGTGCAGTATGTAGGTATGTATATTAAAAATATAAATGCTGTCAAACTGAGCATTTCAGTTGAAACACTTGTGGGTACATCCTAAAAGTATGCTATAAAAATTCTGAAAAAGAATGTAAATAATCCCTTAGTAGCATGACAGAAGAATACAGGTAGATGCATTAACGCTTGGGAGCATTGATATATCAAAAAAATTTAAATGTTTTTTCAAATATAAGTAGATTTTCATATGTTTTCTTATATAACGTCATTCGGAGGCTATTATAATTCGCGTTTTTCAACAATTTTTACAACGTTAAATAATTTTTCATTCAAAATTTTCGATTCCAAAATTGGTTTGACAGTTCATTGTCCCAGCAGCTGTGTCGACGCGTCTACCTATGTTCTTCTACCATGCTTAGTAGATCCCATGGTAGAAGAATGTAGGTAATCGCATCGATACAGCTGCTGGGACAATAAACTGTCAAATCAATTTTGGAATTGGAATTTTTGAACGAAAATTTATTTAAATTTTTAAAAATTGTTAAAAAAATGCATATCATAACAACCTCCAATTGGCGTCGTATAGGAAAACGTATACCAATCTACTTATTTTTGAAGAAACATTTAAACATTTTTGACGTATCAATGTTCCCAAGTGTTGATGCATCTACCTGTATTCTTCTACCATTGTAAAAACCTATGCGTATATAATGTTTACACCATCTGAATTTTGTTGCGTATGAATGGCAATGCCTTTAAGATGTGTAAATTGGCAAATGTGGCAATACCAGCAAAGGTATTACTTTTAGCATTGACACGAACCATTTTTTGGTTTGTCGATTGATATGTAGATGACTATCGGAGCAATAATTGTGATTTTTTAGAATATTTTTTAAAAGAGCTATCAAAGCAATAATCGAGGGGTTTTTCAAGAATATATTTGAATGACTATTAAAGCAATAACCATTGATTTTATTAAAAATATTTTTTGAAGGACTATAGAAGCAATAATCGCGTATTTTTTTTAGAATATTTTTTTGAAGGACTATCAAAACAATAATTGTGTTTTTTTAAAGTACTATTAAAGCAATAATTGTAGATTTTTTAAGAATTTTTTAGGGCTATTGAAGCAATAATCGTGGATTTTTAAGAGTAGTTTTTAAAGGACTATCGAGCATTTTTAAGAATATTTTTTGAAGGACTATAAAAGCAATAATCGTAGATTTTTTTTAAAAAATTTTTTGAAGGACGATCAAAGCAATAGTCGTGTATTTTTTAGGAATATTTTTTGAAGGACTATCGGAGCACTAATTGTGAATTTTTAAGAATATTTTTGAAGGACCATCAAAGCAATAATCGTGGATTTTTCAGGGCTATTAAAGCAATAATCCTGGATTTTTTAAGAATATTTTTGAAGGACTATTAAAGCAATGATAGTGTATTTTTTAAGAATATTTTTTTAAGAACTATCAAAGCAATAGTCGTTGATTTTTTAAGAATATATTTTGCAAGGAGGACCAAAGCAATAGTCGTGTATTTTTTAGGAATATTTTTTGAAGGACTATTAAACCAATAAACGTGGATTTTTTATAGAATATCTTTTGAAGGACTATCGAAGCAATAATCGTTGATTTTTTTATAATATTTTTGGAAGGACTATCAGAGCACTAATTGTGAATTTTTAAGATTATTTTTAAAGGACTATCAAAGCAATAATCGTGGATTTTTTAAGAATATTTTTGAAGGACTATTAAAGCAATGATAGTGGATTTTTTAAAAATATATTTTTTTTAAGAACTATCAAAGCAATAGTCGTTTATTTTTTAGGAATATATTTTGCAGGAGGACCAATACAGTAATCGCCATAATTTTTAATTTTGTTTTTAAATTTTATTAAATGAAAGCAAAAAATGTCGGAAATAGCATCAACTATTAGAACAAGTTTAGATTTGCTCGAATTGGTCACCTTTGGCACGAATTATGGCCTTCAAACGGCTAATGAAACCTGAATATTGCTCGAATGTTGTTCTGCGGTATTTTGGCCCATTCCCGGCGAAGCGCTTGCTTGAGGTGATCGACACTTTGGTATTTTTAGGAGCCAACCTTGCTTTCCAAAATACTCCAGACACAATAGTCCAACGGATTGGTATCCGGGGATTTTGGTGACCATTGTGCGCTGGAAATGAAGCAAGGAACCTCATTTTGTAACCATTCTTGGGTGGCGCGTGCTGAGTGCGATGGTGCTGAGTCCTGTTGGAAAGTCCAATGCTTGCGGCCGAAATGCTTGCGTGCCCAAGGCTTTAATACGGCCTCCAGAATATTCTCGCGATAATATTCGGCATTCATTCTGATGCCACGACCGATTAATATGAGCGGAGAGCGACCATCGGCTGCTATAGCGGACCACACCATCACCATGGCGCTTGAGTTCTGGAGGCCAATCGAAGGTGCATATTTTCAACTGACCTCTTTGGCAAGTAAGCACGATCATTTTGTTTGTTTACAAACTGCTGGTCAACGAATGCTTTCTCATCGGAGAAAGCCAAATTCGGCAGTTCTCTACTTTCGGCCAAGTGAAGCAACTCTTTAGCTTTCTTTCTGTTGCGGTGTAAGTTCTTGGAATTTCAATGGCTTTACCCCGAGCTAATTTTTCTATATTTGTCGAATGAAATATTGCCATATGTTCGGTTCACGAGCCATTTTTCGGCAACTGCGAAGCGGGTTTCGTTCAATTCGATTCTTTACTTTTCGAACCATTTCTGCTGATGTTGCTGTTTTGGTCCGTCCACTTCCTTGACGTCAGGCTACGCTACCAGCATCACAGAAACGGGCGATGGTACGAGACACAAAAGATTTATTCACATTTAAATGCTTGGGTGCTCTAACGATAGCCACTTGTGGTTTTCCAGCCAAATATAACACTATCACGCTTGAATTCCATTGCGAATAACTTTTTTTCTGGAAAATTCTCTCGAAAATGGTTTTGTAGCTGTAGCTTGTAAACAATATTATGAGCTGTAACTGGAATAATTTTAACATCTGTCGGACGAGTGGCTTAGGAATGACAGCACTCTGAAATTGGTTGCAGTTTTTTCATCTCACCCTGTAATCGTGCATTTTTAAAAATATTTTTTGAAGGACTATCAAAACAACAATTGTGGATTTTGTTAAGAATTTTTTTTGTCAATTATCATAACCCTAATAAAAGGGAATTTTTTTTTGAGGGACTATCAGATTTTTTTTTAAAATATTTTTTTGTTCAACACATACATAACGTACATATGTTTATATTATTTAAAAATGTGTAACCAATCACTAATAATTAGCAATTAAATTTAAGTACTCATCCATTATTTCTAGGAATTCAAGTAAAATATTTCGGCATTTTTTGTCACCACCTTGAGTAAAATACAAAATTTCGGTTTCTTAGAAGATTTTTGACAGGCAATTTATTAATTTTAGATGTCACAATGACATAAAAAACAACAGATGCATCTCCGAGCAATTTGGATGACTAAAATTGCATTTTTTGTGAGCCCATAATTAATATGACATGTCGCCAAACATGCATTCATTTTAAATTCTGTGGAAATAATTAAACAGCATATTTTTGTTAAAAAAAAAACAAGAAATAAATTATTTTTGGTATTTATTAATTTTCTGTAATTTTTATTATCCGTTGAAAAAAAAAAAAAACAATCGGCTTGAGGAAATACATTTGCCGAATGTTCCATGGGCCCAATTCATATCCATGAATAAGGAAGTAGACAATGTGGATACTTTCAATTTGCACAGGCCATAAACATCTTTATGCACACGACTGTGAGTCACAAAAGTTTTTTTTTGTTGTTTTTTGTTGTATTTTTCAAAAAATATACTAGAATATATTTTTAAAATACGTTTGTTGTTGAAATATTCCAAAAATACAATATGAACATGTGATGCAAATTTTTAGTTTGTTTTGGTTTCTGCCTTTGGCTTTTTGCCATCTTCTAGCCTCCAGACCTTCAA